CTACTACTACACTACTACTACTCGTATCGATACTACTACTTACTACTACTAACACTAACTACTAACTTACTACTACTACTAACTAACTACTACTACTACTACTACTACTACTACTACTCTACTACTATACTACTACCTACTACTACTACTGACTACTTACTACTACTACTACTACTACTACTACTACTACTACTACTAGCTGTTACTTAACTGCTACTACTCTACACTGCACTACTGCATACTGCTACTACTGCTACTACTTACTACTCTACTCGCTACTACTGCTACGTTACTGCTTACTACTGCTACTACCTGCTAACTACTGCTACTACTGCTACTATGCCTATGCTACTACGCTACTACTGGCTACTACTGCTACTACTGCTCATCACTACTGCTACTACTGCTACTACTGCTACTACTGCTCTACTGCTACCTAACTGTACTGACTTGACTGCTACTGCTCTACGCTACTCTGCTACTACTGCTACTACTGCTACTACTGCTACTACTGGCTACTACTCTACTACGCTACTACTGCTACTACGACTGAACTGCTACTAGCTATATGCCTACTACTGCTACTACTCACTACGCTACTACTGCTTACTGTACTACTGCTATTGGCGTACTACTGCTACTACTGCTACACTGCTACACTTACATACTTACTACTACTACTACTACTACTACATACTACTACTACTACTACACTACTACTACCTACTTACTAACTACTACTACTAACTACTAACTACTACACTACTACTACTACTACTACTACTACTACTACTACTTACTACTACTACTACTACTACTCACTACTACCTACTACTACTATTATATTACATTTTTTTCTGCACTGCATCTCGCATAATATGCTATGAGTCGGCTGAATATAAAATCTACTCCAGGTTGCAACCTAAGTAGCAGTCCTAGTAACGTTGGTTCCTCTACAACAGTTTGCACAAAATGTGAGATGTTACAAATCAATTTCTTGCACTTCCCAGACTTTTGAGTTATCTGCGTGTTTAGCCAAGTCCTTATACAAATTTTGCGGAACAAATCCCAGAGCTCCGATGACTATCGTTATGCCCCTCATTCGGGTGAATTCTATTTCCAAACACTTGTATTTAAGAAGTTTAAGAAGTTAAGACACCGGGAACTTTGCATATCCAAGATGCCTGCTTCGCTTTCAAACTCGGGGGGTCAGTTATATCAATAGAAACTTCTTAACGATGCGTGCAGTACTCAGGAGAACAGCCTTTTGCATTATTTACATGTGCCAGTTTTTAAGGCCAAGACTTGCAGACGATGAAATTAGTTCTTCGAAGATCTGTCCATTTGCAGATATGACCACAGGGACTACTTCAAAAGATACTAAGCGCCTGATGTCACTCAATTCAATAGCCAAGGCCTGATATTCTTGCTTCTGCTCGGCAACAGAGGCCGAGATCTTGGATATTTGTGCCACACATCAGGATCAGTTTGTCAGGATCGAGGATTTTCCCTCTTTTCACGTGCACTGCAGCGCATTTATCAATGCCAAACTCCATACAAATAGAGTCGCTAAAGGACTTAACAAGTTCAAGCAACGAGGAAAGCTGGTTCTTATCTCTGGCGTGCAACTTGAGATTGTCCATGTAGAACTAATGATTAATGAGGATATGGGGATTTTTGGTGATTTCATATCCATCCCTGAATCTCTTAACATTCTGCTGAGAGAGTTTAGAGCTAGCAAGAACCATAAGGCACTAAGACTATCTCCCTGAAAAATTATTTTGATCGCGAATTGGCCAGCTAGGACCACGCGGATACACACTTGCACTTACCGAGGTCCCGTTACATTTATCCCGTGTCGAGTGTATGTGACTCCTTTGCGGGATCAGCATTGTACGCTGAAACAGTTTTTATCCCCCGGGGTTGCTAGCCCTGTAGGTATGCGATATGTAATGATGATAATGAAGGATGAAGCAACGACACGCCCATGCGGAACTCGGACCCGGGTTCGTCCTTAGCGATCTCTGCTATCAGCACTACCTCTACCTACCACTACCACCACCATCCACTACCACGACTACCACTACTACCACCACCATCACCACGACTACTACCACTACTACTACCATTTTACCACGACTACTACTACTACTACTACCATTTTACCACGACTACTACCACTACTAGTGCCATTTTACCACGACTACTACCACTACTCCTCCCACCATCACCATGACTACTACTACTACCACCACTATCACCACGACTACCACTACTACCACCACCATCACGACGACTACCACTACTACTACCACTATCACCACGACTACCACTACTACTCCCACGATCACCATGACTACTACTACTACTACTACTACTACTACTACTACTACCACTATTACCCCGACTACCACTACTACTACTATACCACTACCACTACTACTACTACCACCACTACTACCACTATCACCACGACTACCATTACTACCACTATTATTAATATTATTATGATGGTTAAAAAGTGCAGGTGTATGCAGTTAATCAGGAGTCACGCTTTACGTCCAACTTCTTTTTGAAATTATTTATAAAAATTGGTATCTCGGCTCAGGAGATGTCCTGAGTGGACAGGACTGTGTTGGAAAAGACGTGGTATGATTCCCGATGGGACAATCTCAAATATTAATAAACAAAACGTCAAGCCTGCTCACATACATTTTAAGCATTAACACTACAAAAGTAAGTCAACAAGTATAACAATTGTGCAAACAAATTTTTTTTTATTTTTACCTTTTCGCTACCACTTACGCAGTAGAAAAAAGTTATGGAATGCTGCAAAACAGTCAGCACATTTTTGGCAGAAAAAACTCTTATTAAAGGCCCTGGTAACGGAAAAGTGGTTAAATCTACTTGCTAAATTTCCAAACAAATTTTCTGATGAACGACGATAAAAATGACATCTGCATTTAGAGTGCAAGTCAAAATGAAGATATATAATCAAATGTTTTTTGTAAATAAAGCGTGTCACGTCATATTGATGAAGGACATTTTAACCCTCCCTTCGTAAAGCGCGTTATAGATGGTTGTGTTGGACATGTTGGTCAATCGAAGGTTACATTTTAGTTCATAATATCACCAGTTCCAACCTGCTACCCCACAGACCATGATAAAAACCCAGGCCTTTTAAGCCTTTGCAATATCGAATATTAAAATATTTGTTCACTAAACGTCACTCAAAAAGGGTTTGCAAATAATCTCCAACTATTTTCCAACAATCATCTCAACTCAACAAATCACTCCTTCTACCAAATCCACCCTTACACCAAAAACAAAATATATCAAAAAGCATCAGAATGTCACTCGGGTGAGATGCTACATAATGATGCGCCTAGAATGTTAAAATCCAAGGAACATGCGTAGCATAGCCAGGAAGTATGACACTTTGGGGCCATGCTGGATGCGAGACGAGACTTGTATTGTGGAGATAAGGCACGGTCAGGTGTCATTAACAAGGATTTGATTAGGGGAGGGCGTTGAAAATTAAGTTTAGCAAAAATAAGCGAATTCTTCCTCTCACGGAAGCGGCCAAGCGGTTCACATGGTATGAACATTATCAAGTTGTAATTTTGCGATATTAGATTTATGTTGTGGGTAAATCTTCGTTTGATTAACAAATAATAGTGTAGACTAGCAGTATTGTTATTTGAGTTTTAAGTGGGTTGTTGTAAAATTTCTAATAGAAGTCCGGAAATTAGAAGCAATTACCTTTAGTAATAATATAACATATTTTAAAGATATTAAAATGTCTTTGAAATTTGTGGTTTGTAGGTAAAAGTTTAACTGCCAAGAAATAGTATTATAAAGCGTTAAATTCAAATCGTGCTTTCAAATTTTCCAAAATCTAAGAAACCTAATAAATGGTTAAACGTCTGGAAATGTGAAATTCGAATTCATAATGGCTCAGATTTCAGTTTGAAAGTACGCAGCATTTACGTTTTATAAGGTAGAAAGTATATTCTGCGCTCAGCAATACTTGCCATCATTATCAGCATCCATCATCATTAAAGTCAAAAACTGCCTTGTCTTTGCTGCCATGACGTTCTATTCTTTGCTGTTCTCTTCACCTCTGTATGGTTTGTGAAGTGCAGTTCTTCTGAAATTTGAAATTCTTCTGAAATTTTTATTCTAGGTAATTAACATTCGTTTATGACAAAAAGATGAAACTGACATATTAACATTAAAAAAAAGTGTTCACTGTTTCAAAGGCAATATAAAGAAAAAAAATATACTGAACTAAAATTTGTTTGTGCATGTTTTGTTAACTTTTACCCTGCATCGGGCATTTGTGGCTATTCGTTAGTGCATATTTCCATGCGTAATTTTGTATTAGATACTTCATAGAAATTTTCTTTCTAATAATGAGTTTTACAGGTAATGATTGAGATATGTTAATATTGGTGGGAATTGCCAATATTTTTTACACATTACTAACAGCGAGCCCATAAATACCAATGTTAATTGATTCTCTTTATACAGCCCTGGTTTTGAGAATAAAAATACGTGAATAATATTTTAAGTAGGGGTTCAAATTGTCCTTAAATTTTGGGTAGTGTTTCAGAATTTGCCTAAGTTTTTTTTTGATTTTGATGTTTATTCGCCCATAAGAAAAATATTTTTTCTCTTTGTACATCACTGATTTTGAGAACATAAATGCGGGAATATGTTTTTCCCTAGAGCATTGAATTAGCCTTAAATTTTGAATTTGGTTTCATATTTTGTAATAAATTTTTAGATGAATTTTCTGGGTAGGTGCTGCTCGCTTTAGTCCAAAGCAAGCAGCGCATACGATTTTGGGCATTCCAACCGACTAAAATTCGGGAAAAGAGCACTTAATTATCCTCAAATCAGCCTGAAAGTTTTGCTATAGTTTGGTTGAAATCGGTGTTTGGTACTGCTAGCTTTACATGGCTTAACTTTCTCCATATTACCCATGCATTATGCGAGAACGTGAAAGGACGTGCAGGGATGCTTAATTGACGATAATGAAAATAAAATTCCTGCTCAATGTCGGCTGTTCAGAAAGTAAGATATAACAAACACATTAATATCAATAATACATACTGCAGGTATGGGGCAAGTGTTTGCTAGATTTTCTTTGTCTGCTGTGAGACCCATGGCTTCGAAAACTCCGCTCATGAATTCTGGAAAATGTTCACATGCGTTCTCACAAATATCTGTTTCCTCAAGGGGATAAAATGTCTTCCAGCCTGCCCCAGGAAACCATCTTTGAGCATCCATAACGATCTGTGTAACAAAAAGAACAATGATGTCATCAGTATTTATTAGTTTCTTGTCATAATTTGGCATTAACAACTCTAAAATAATTGGGGATTAATTAACTCGTAAGCGTTTTTAGACTTCAATTTATCAAGCGCAATAATATTTAGATGTGATATGTAATTATAGTTAAGTAGACTCAATACACGTCAATACAGCTTTTCTTTAGAATAGAGTTGAAAAGAAGACCAGAAATGTGTTTCGTAATATCGCATGCGCGTAAAAATTCCACAAAACTCACCTTCATGTCTGGTTCAAGACCCTTTAACATAGTGATATTGAAATAGAGAACGTAATCGTCGTCTTCGTTCTTGGTGAAAAGAAAACTGAAAGGCCATGCGTCCTTTTCCAGGGAATCTTCACAACTCTCCACTGATGTCACATGTATGTGCTTGTATTTTCCCTAGAACATAGCAAGCATGGGATTAAAACGCAGTTTAGTGAGTAGAGCCCGCACGCTGGCCCGAGTGCTCGGGTAAAGGCCTCCTGAGGCGCAAAGCAGGTACTTTCGCTCGTGAATCCTCTGTGGTAGCGACCTGGGACGTGCTGCGTGCAGCAGAGGTTAATTCGGAAGCAACAGCAACAGCTGGATTGTGCAGATGTTGGCAGCACTCTATGTCTACAGTAGTGGCTAAAGTTGTTGCTTCAGAACAAAAGCGCCCACACCTACAGTAAGTTAAATGTATGACTGTAACATGTACACGAATGTAAACATGTAATAAATGCAAATCTTTTACGAAAAATGTATTTAGTCTAATAATTGGACATTGGCATATTAGGCTGTATCAAAAAAATATAAGTCAATGGCTTAGTAAAAAAAGGTAGTTTTTTCTGCAAGAACAACATCAACGCCAATAAAACCGTTTTAAAATGGGTTTAGGGGTGCCACTAACCCCACGAACACCCCATCTTTTGGTCTTTTTTCGCTACTTCTTAGAAAATCACGAATAAACATTATTTATAGTTTAAACAAAGATAACAGACAACAGTGGGTCAGTGATGAAAAGTGATACAAACATTGACGAACACTTCTAACTATTTCTTAGTGATATGGTGGCAAGGCGCAAAAGATGAAAAATGTGACAAAAAATCATGTCGGAGCGAGAACGGAACAAAAATAGTGATCGATACAGAACAGGAGTTCCTGCGGACAACTTACCAAAGCTCGTCAAAGGAACAGACCGTGGTCGAAGCAAGTCTGGAAACTTGAACTCGATTACAGAGAAAGATGGAACCGTGAATTTTTTCGACTTCTTCGCAAACGACATTTCCAATCTCAAGACCCCTGACCGCACGAGCAACAGAATCGGCGTGATTAGAAATTGCTCGACGGACGAGAGAGCGTGACACGCACAGAACACACGACAGCCATAAGGTTAGAGGGTGTGGACATAGCAGAACCAAGCCTACATGTACGATTCGCGATGTCGGCGTTAGTTTTACAGGATTTTCAAGCGAAGATGCAGCCAAGTTGAACTGAGGATATAAGATAGGCCGTCCAGAATTGGGTTCACTGCACGATTCTGTATCGGACAGAAAAACAAAACAAGACCCGTTGGATCGTTCAAATGGAACATTGGTGATTGATAACCAGGTACATTACTCCCCGTTCTTTATAGTGCCGAAGGATTTCATGAACTGTGATTTTAGTCTTGGACAAAAGTGGATTATAGTCACGAAGATCACTCAGCACTTCAGTGGTCGCATGGATTACTACCGCAATTCAGTCTCATTCATTCGTTGTTTATACGAAGAGTTGTCAAACGATTGGCGTGGACTTTTCAGTACCTTTCGTAGAAGGCTTGAATTACTTAATTGTAACGAAATATGATGTAATTGAGAACTGCTGCACTAGCGATAAGCACCGGAAATAGTTTGGATTAAAATAGAAGTCTACGCGACCACTCTGTATGTATACGGGAAAATAAAAATGAAGACCTTTGTAAAACTGTAAAGATGCGTTTAATGAATTGTCAATCATTATCTTCCAACACGTGCACTTAAATAAAATAAATATACTATAATAGAATTCAAAAAATATGCACTGCAATTAATTATATTTAAAAGTGGTTTATTTAAATAGTAGTTTTGGTAGAAATTTTAATGGATTTTCAAAAGACCAAATAAGTTTCCCTTCATATTATTGTAAGAACACTTTCCTTTTCATATGACCTTCTTTTTCTGACAAATTATATTTAATGATAGTACAAACCAGGTGTTTACATTTGAAGATGGGGAAAGGCCGTATGTGGAGATCAAATATTGTGAACATTAAAGCTTGGTGTTGTCTGTACAATTTTGTAAGGGATATTCTTACATTAAATTAATTTTATTTATCCTGACATTATTTCAATACAAGAAGATTTCAGAATCTTGTAATTATATGTTCATTTTTCAATGCTATAGAAATTATTGTGAAATGTGCAATTGAAGGAACCTGATTTAATTATGGCTACAAGCTAAGAGAAAGTATATTGACTTACTGACTGCATCTGTGATAACGCATAATTTGGAAACAAATGTGTCGCCACTACAAATATTACCAGTTTCAAAATAAAATGCATCTTCCTCAAATTTGCTAGGCTGATCGAGCCACCTTGCAGCAAGTGCAGCAGAAACTATGTGAAGGTTTTTTAATAGGACGCTGAAATTCCAATGCACAACCGACAACGTACGTCCATCCTATCAGGCAACTGAAAAACAATACCTCAGATGTAATAATGTGAACCAAAAGCACGAAGACCCATCACAATGGAACGCCACTGTGATATGCAGAGCGCACATCCGTTGTTTTACACATTGACCAAAACATTTATTTGTAAGTTATATAATGTTTTCAATTGGATTTTATTTATACCAGATTAATGCCCCAGACTTCAGATACTCTATAATGCATTCTTTTTTTGAACAACTAAATTTGCATTATATTTTTCTCATACACTTCTATATAAAACAGAGAAAGAATTGAAACATTACAGAAAAGAGTTCTAACAACCGCATGTTTTAAATAAAAGATATTTTTGTGAATCCACGTTACCTACAAGTGAATTTTTATGTACTATGTAGGAAAATAATTTTAAACATTATTTTCTTGGATTCATAAATTTCACATAAACAATACTTTGTGGGTCACTGTGTAATATATTATATTACATGTTTGCTTTATATTGAGTGTAAATGAGCGTATTGACATGAAAATGGTTTAAAAGTGTGAGTGGATTGTGACTGAACTTGTTTGACATTGGTTAGCGTGGATAGGTAGACGGATGTAGGAAGTTTTGCCTTGGGAATGAACACTAGTCATGCTTCAGAATGGCTCAGACTCGCGTATTAGATTTCTATTTCCTTTGGTCTGAGCTAGGTATTCGGACTTGTCAGATACTCTTCCCGCCTACCATCTACCGGCATCCAAAGTATTTTTTTCTCAATTTTTTGAGTTCCGAATAGTAAAACTGAAATATTACTTTAAGCACATTAAAGAACTGCAATATCTTGTCCAAAATAGCAATTTACATTGAAAAATTTGGAGCCATTTCTAAGAATATGTTGTTTAAGCGTGACTGTAATTGCGAAATTTGATGCTCTTTTGGACAGATTTTTTTAAATTTGATTTTTTACTTTGAATTCATTTGAACCAAATTCATTCACAAGAACAAAAGTGTTCACAGACCGCTGGAAATGTGTATATAAACGTGATATATTTAAAAATAAATTACATTTCTGTATTTAAAAAAACAAAAGAATGTTGTAAAATTAATTTTATGTCTTCTTAAAGAGTGCAATATGTACGAGTACTAGCCGTACGAGAACTTTGAAGAAACATTTTGGAGCGTTTTTTTTTTTTTGGAGATTTCAGGAAAGTTTATAAGACATCATTTTTAGAACGGTACCGTTCTTGCAAATACAATAATGTCAACAAATCGCCGCTAATGAAAATATTAAAGTCATCAGAGGCTAATAAAAATGTGATTTGTGAAGAAAAAGTAAAGATTTCGTAATTGCAACGCAAATACACGTTTTGTGCCCCCCTTATACCAAAAAGCAGTTTTATTCAAAATTCCGTCTGTCCGTCTGTCTGTCCGTCTGTCTGTCCGTCTGTCTGTCCGTCTGTCTGTCCGTCTGTCTGGAAAGACAGACACGACGGACAGACAGAACAGACGGACAGACCAGACAGACGGAAGACGAGACAGACGGACAGACAGACAGACGGACAGAACAGACAGACGGACAGACAGCGAACGGAAAGACAGACAGAGAAGACAGACAGACGGACAGACAGACAGACGGACAACAGACAGACGGATCAGACAGGAACAGACGGACAGACGCGACGAGACGAGACGGACAGACAGAACAGACGGACAGACAGACAGAACGGACAGACAGACAGACGACAGACAGACAGACGGACAGACAGACAGAGACGGACAGACAGACGGAACAGACGGACGGGACAGACGGACAGACAGACGGACAGACAGACGGACAGACAGACCGCAGACACGACGGACAGACAGACGGACAGACAGACGGACAGACAGACGGACAGACAACGACAGACAGACGGACAGACAGGACGGAACAGACAGACGGACAGACAGACGGGACAGACAGACGGACAGAAGACGGACAGACAGACGGACAGACAGACGGACAGACAGACGGACAGACAGACGGACAGACAGACGGACAGACAGGACGACGACAGACAGACGGACAGACAGACGACAGGACAGACGGAACAGACAACGGACAGACAGACGGACAGACAGACGGACAGACAGGACGGGACAGACAGACGGACAGGACAGACGGACAGGACAGACGGACAGACAGACGGACAGAACAGACGGACGATGACAGAACGGACAGACAGACAGGGGGACAGACAGACAGAGCAGAGGACAGACGGACAGACAGACGGACAGACAGACGGACAGAGACGAGACAGAACGGACAGACAGACGACA